TTACACCATATTCTGTGACCTGCAACAGTGCATGCAACACCACCCCCTACGGTCACAATATACAGTGGTCACAGAATATGGTGTAACACCGGTTCACAATGAGCTCCAAACAGTCAGGAAGTTGATTCATTTTCTGTTTCCTTACGGTAGTTGAACCAGAAGATTCATCTTTAGTGAAATATTTCCAGACTATTGATGTATTTCTACCTGTTTGTCAAGACTGGGCCTGCTCCGTTCCATCCGCCTGCTGGGAGGAATCCATTTTGTAACCCGCGCCCAGTGCGGATCACGTGACATAATGACGTCACTAAGAATACTCGACGTGAAATTTAAAAACTTGAGAGATGTCCTAGGAATTGATGCATCGATTACTTGAGTAGTCTGTTAAAGCCCTAACTCAGTGCAGTGTGAATGCAAACCGTACCAGATGAAAATGTAAACAAATGTTCCGAATTTTGGCCCCCAATCAAACAGTCTACCGGACTATTAGGTGTGAACACGACCTAGCACCTGAGGAGGAGGTTTTCTTTCTTTTGGTGTAGTTCACATTCACACTAAACTGAGTCAGTCGAGCCAACCTGCCTCCCCCCCACCCACCCCCCCACCTGTGGTGGCGCTGCACCAAGAACTATTGAAGGAAACAACACGAAAATGTCTGACATTTCTTCTTCTTCTGGAAATAAAAACAAAAATGGAGTGGTGTCAAATTTTAGCGGTTTTAGGATTTCTGTTTTGTCATTTATCAACAATGGACTCGGCGTGAGTGGAAGATGAGGCAGAAGATCATGGAGAATGTTCTTTTTCACACAAGGTGGCTGAGACGACTACGTATGAGGTATGAAATGCACATTTGTTTTGGTTGTATTTACACAGAATGCCCTGCGCTGTAGTCCACTTCCTGCTTTTAGAGCAGTCTCCGGTCTGCTTGCGTTCACAAAGTATTCGAACCGCGCCAGAGTTCACTTCAACCAAACTGAGACCTGGGTTTTTAGGCGGACCAGAGTTTGCTTTTTTGTTCCGCATCAGAGTTCGGTTGCGCATTCACACCTCCCCAAACGAACCTGACTTTCTAGGCAAATGGACTAGGGTTCGATTAAAGTGGACGAACAGCGTTGACACCCTCAGCGGCTGTCTGTGTTAACTGGAAGGTTTGTGAGCCAACTGCGAACATTTAAGCGTTTTAAGTTTCTGTAACTTGAAGTTCTGAATGATCAGAAACTCATTCTTGGAAAACATTTGAACTTAACATTCTTAACTAGGGCTGGGTAATGTTCAAAAAAAAGATTTGGTGTCGGTACCTTCACTTCGGTGTCCGTTACCGGACGGTTCTTTTTTCGGTACCAATTTTATAATTACTATTAATTCTAACAAGAATAAAATTACATTACACATTACAGTACAAATCATGAGTTTTATTTTTTTTTTCTTTGGTATTTCTATTCCAAGCAGTTTTCTTACATAAAAATAAACAAATAATTTCCAGTTCAAAAGACCAGTTTCAAACCAGTGACTCGTCAGTGTCTAATGCTCACTGCTGCACACTGAGGACGTTTTCACTAAACAGTTTTTCTTCAGGAACAACATGTCTTCTTTCTCTGGACACAAACAAGCCCACTCCTGGTTGATGGTGTCTCCAGCAGAAGATGTTCACTCTGAGGGTGTGGATGATGCTTATTGCACACACAGGTACCTGGTTGTCAGTTTGATAGCACTGACATAGTGTCCCGCACATTCCACCAGCAGGTCACTGGATTCACTGAGGTTAGGGATGATGCAGACTTCTGCACCTCTGTGTCTCTTCCTGAATCTTCTCTGGGGTTTAGGGCTCTGATCATCTCCCTAACTGACATTAGAACACAAAACATGAACAATAACATGGTTGTGTTATTATTGATCAAAAATCATTTTCTAGGCTGAGAGATACTGGTTTAACTGGTCAACAATATCCTTTAAAGTTTACTTACCTCCACCATGCAGCCTCCACTGTAGAAAAAGGCAGCAAAAGTTTAACAACAAAGTTTGTGACTGTCCTGTGACCCCCACCTTGCTTTTCTTTTGTCTCTGTCCTCCTCACATCAGGGTCAGAACCTCATGTGAGGAGAACATTAACAAACAGTGAACATTAGTGAACTGTTTAAGCAGCTGACTGGATGGATGAGCACATTTTTACAATCTTCATCTGTTACTGTCAATCTTTAGTTAGCTTTCGAGTTTAGCTAGCTACATAGATAAAATAAATTTACACACTAATATCTTAAAGTTAGTGTAACATGGATCCTAGTTTAACTCACAGAGCAATGCACGTATTAAGCTGCGGTAACGTTAACAACCGTAAACTTACCAGCTGCAACACATACACAGCTCCGTCCTCGGTGTCAAGCAGAGTCCAGTCGTGGAAATTTTGAATCGGCCATTCAGGCTCTAGCACCCACAGGCTGACTTAAATGCTGAGAGGAGGAGGCTGCGCTCCGCTCTTCTTTCAGTCAAACATGGAGCAACTTTATGCTCTTAAATTCCATGCACGGTCAGGCGCTGCATATTAAGGCTTGCCTTAGAAACCCCGTGAACCCCGTCTGCGGGCGTAACAACGTCTGTGTTTCACCAAAATGGCTATAACTTGGTCAAATTAACAGATTTTTAACTAAAATTTGGTGTGGCATTAACTTAAAGTCATACACAGCATATGTTACAGTGTTTCCCCTAGATAACTGGCCATGGCGGGGCGCTCATCTCATCTGTGATTTTTGTTGTGTGTGTGTGTGGGGGGGGGGGGACGGATGGAGACACGTCCTGAGCTGTGCAGCGCCCTGTTTATACCAACAGTTTTAGAGGGGGATGGGGGACAGAGAGACAGCCGCGCGCTGTTTGCACCGACAGTTTTTTATGGTGGGGGGGCGGGCGGGGGGACAGACAGACAAACATCTGAGCCGTGCGCTGTTTGTACCGACAGTTTGAGTGGCGGGGGGACATTCAGCGTGATGCTGCCTTTAGCTTTTTAGCTAGCACACCTGCATTGCGAGCCGCTAGTTTAGCGTTATGTCAGTGCCGACAGGTGGTTGGGGGGTTCAGTAGACGGGGCGCTCGGTTCTGTTGACAGGGCGGGGCACCCCGCTTGTATAATGGTAGGGGAAACACTGTGTTACCAAATGGTACTCAGTTTACACAACCCAAGCTTAAAACATAGCATTTAGTGATGCAGTCAGCTCTGACTGACGGTTAGCAAACATCTCACAAACCACTAGACACATTTTATTGACAATCTGAGAACATAATCCCTGGATATACATCCACAACTGATGGACTTTCAGGGTCAGTAAAGTAACTGGCTTTACACTGACCCTGAAACGACTGTACCTCAGTCAATTTTACAAATACTGAGGTAAAATTCGTTGTGGTAGTAGCTGAGAGTTAACATTGCTTGAGACTGGGCATGATGTTAAATTTAAACAACAACGCTACAATGCTGTAATTTCTCAAAGTAAGATGGTGTCTGTATGAAAGGTGCTGGGCGATATGCATTCAATGAGGGAATCCTAGACTTTATCTTAATGCAGCTGTCCTGAATCATCCAACACATAATCCTAATTTACTTGCATTGATCGAGCAAGTATCAGTAAATGGCATCTACTTCAGTAAAAGTATTAAAGAAGTTCATGTGAAAGCACCACAGCCAGCACTAACTCAACAACAGCTCCAGCCTTTACAGATAGCATCTATAAAGTTGCACAAACACTGCAGACACAAGTGCACTTTCAAAGCTAAAGACAAAAACATTTCTTTGATTCAATCTACAAATGAGTCCAGTACGAGCGATGTACGCTGCAGCCTGCTACTGACCCCTGGAACTCCTTCCACTGGTAATCCCTGCAGTCTCCAACAACCGACCTGAGGGCCTCATCTCCGACTGTAAAGGTTGAAGAGGGGCGACCTGTTTGCATGTGTGAGTCAGGATTCCTCAAATCTTTTTGTCCCAGTGCTTCACTCCAGGGCCACCCTGAACCTCCCGGTACAGTCACACCAGCGTGGCAAATTCATCAGCAAAGCAGCAGCTCAGTGCCGCATGTCAGCTGGAGCTGAAGCTTTAGCCTTTACTCCTAACATGCAGCATGTGAGAGGAATTAGCTGCTGAAAACCACTCCTCTGCTGCTGTCACACAATGGTCATGCAGAAAGCACCGTGTCTGTCTGAGAATGTGGCTCAGTGAGACGGACAGTTGTCGTCTGCCACACAGAGCAGAAGGCCGACACAAATGTTTGGACCTTGTTTGCAAAATCTCTCAGGAATCACCGGATGAACTTCAATGAAACTTGCAGGAGGAAATCTTGTGTCAGTTTTATAGACATGGAGCTGAGAGTGACCGTCAACAGACAATTTGATGATGAAATCTAGCAGTGTCTCATATGATTATGTCCAATCGTACTTCCAAGCACCAGCTCCCATTCTTAACAACAGATAATCATTTTAGCTTCAAACTCTGACATTAAAGGAGGCGAGTGATATGCATTCCTTTGAGAAGAGCTGGGTTCAACGTGAAATAATCCATCTCAGGCCAAACTCATAGCTGTTTAGCTGCAGCTTCAAGTTCAGCTTTAAATTAACGTCATATAATTTAATTTCCATTAACTTTAAAATACTTGAAATTATGTTATTTTTATTCCTTACGGAAAAACTATAAAAAGTCAT